ATTTGGGAAGAAAGGGAAGTTGAGTCTGAGGTTTATTGGCCCTTTTGAGATATTTAGGCATGTTGGGGAGGTTGCTTATGAGCTTGCCTTACCTCCCAGCTTGGCAGGAGTTCATCTGGTATATCATGTTTCGATGATCCGGAGGTATCATAGTGATCCGTCGCACGTGTTGGAGTTCAAATCAGTCCAGTTGGAAAAGGATCTATCTTATGTTGAGGAGCCAGTGGCAATATTGGACAGGCATGTTAGAAAGCTGAGGTCAAAGAACATTGCTGCAGTAAAGGTTCAATGGTGGGGTCAGCCAGTCGAGGAGGCGACCTGGGAGACAGAGCAGGATATGCGGAGTCGTTACCCTCATCTTTTCACTACTTCAGGTATGTCTTTATACTCGTTCGAGGACGAATGAATGTTTAAGTGTAGGAGGATGTGACGACCCGGCCGGTCGTCTTAAGAATTTACGCCATGATCCCTTATTAACTGCTTTCCCCGAGTTTATTTCTGCTATTTTGATTTGCCGGGATGTTCGGTTTTGAGTTTTGGAGAATTTTGGGACACTTAGTCCCTAAATGAGAACTTAAGTGTTGGAAAGTTGACCGTAGTCAGAAAAGTGTGAAGACGGACTCGGAATGGAAATCTGATGGTTCCGTTAGTTTTGTTAGGTGATTTCGGGCTTAGGGGCGTGTTCGGATTGTGTTTTGGAGGTCCATAGCTAATTTAGGTTTGAAATACCGGAAGTTGAATTTTTGAAGTTTCCGGTCCAATAGTGAGATTTTGATCCGAGGGTCGGAATGGAATTCCGGAAGTTGGAGTAGCTTCATAGTGTTGAATGTGACGTGTGTGCAAAATTTTAGGTAATTCGGACAAGGTTTGATAGACTTTTTTATCAAAATCGTATTTTGAGAAATTTGGAGTTCTTAGGCTTAAATCCATGGTTAATTCGAGGTTTCGATGTTGTTTTAGGTGTTTTAAGGATTGGTACAAGTTTGGATAGTGGTTTGTGACTTGTTGGTGCCTTTGGTTGAGGTCCCGGGGGCCTCGGTATGAATTCGGATGGTTGATGGAAGAATTTGGAGTTTGAAGTTTGCTGCAACAGCTGGTTTACTATCATAACCGCACCTGCGGTTTGGGTCCCGCAGGTGCGGAGCCGCAGAAGCGGCGGGGCAAGCGCAGATGCAGAATTGGGAAGGATCAGCCGTAGATGCGGGTAATTCACCGCAGAAGCGGTACCGCACCTGTGGAAGGGTAACCGCAGATGCAAAAATTGGCCTTTAAGTGAAAGTCGCAGATGCGACGAAGTCCTCGCAGAAGCGGTCCCAGGGCCGCAAATGCGGAAATCGCTGGGCAGAACATATAAATTCTTGCCTTCATGAAATTTAGCCATTTTTCATATTTTCAAAACGGGAAGAAGCTTGGGGAGCACTTTTCAAGAGGGATTTTCAGAGGAGTTCATTGGGGTAAGGTCTTTGGTCCCTAAACTCGTTATTGAA